AAAAACCTTCAGATGATAGAACCAAAGCAGGATGCTATCTTTTAAGTAGAACTGGTTGTTTTATCACTGGACGATGTCATGTGGTCTTGAAGGCACTCTGAGACCCAGGTGGCTTAAAAAACTTAACACAATTCTCTGAAGGATAAAAGTTTCTACCATGGAGCAAGTTGGCACACTCCTGGGGTCAATTTGATTCATTCCTGTGACTTAAATATACTCTTTGAAAAACGAAGTATAAAAAGTTTTCTGCAAGTTGAAAAAAAAAATATATATACATATCACTAGTATCATCTCAAACCCTTGAGCAGAATCAGGCATCACCATAACCTTCTGCCCAAGGTCAGTATCTGCAAAGATGACCAGAATGGTGTCCCAACACCTCCTGGCTCCTCAGTGTGTAGTAGAGAATAAAATAAATTGTGTTTTGTCTAGGCCAAGCAATGAAAAAGTTTATTGGACTGAGTAAAATACAAGAAGTCCTCTACATACACTGTCTCATTATTGCTGGGCTCATTCCCCTGAGCTGGGTTTCATCAAGTTCCCAGTTATAAATTATACTCTGTTGTTGGACACAGCTGAGAATCTTGCATTCACCATTTAACTGGCTTGAAGCCACACCTTTCTCACAAGCTGAAATGACTATCGTCACTGTACAAAGTCCTTCCAAGAATATGCGGATACTGATTTAGAACCACGCCAGATCCACGTGGTGACCCATAAATAGCAAAGGACATGCAGGGCTTCCTTAGAAAGCTCTGGGAGGAGGTGACATCTGAGATCACCGAGGAAGACAATGGTTGTAACCTACACAGCCTCATGTGACCAAAAGGATATCGGAAGGGCTTTTATTTGGAAATGGGAATGCATTTCTCAGCATGCCTACACAAGCCTACCTGACCACAGCAATATAACATTTGCAAGTGTACCTATGGGCTTTAACTGCTTCCATGTGATGTTATAATTTAAGTTTCTACTTAGGACACCAGAAACTCAAGTCATCACTTCAGGCCAGGGCAGCAGACGAGAATGGGGATCCAGCAGGAGAAGGACACAGGAGGGGCATCCCGGGTGGCAGAGATAATCCTTTACTCAGAGGTTCAGAATTTACAGCCACCTGAGCCTTCATATTTCTTTTTCTTCCCTACCGAACAATAGGGGCAAGATATAGGATCAAAAGCTAAAGCAGGTATAAGTTCTTGATGTCCTTTAGTCACAAGCATTCCTGCTTCTGGTGAGAAGCCAGGGCTCATGCACACTGGGGCACAGAGTGTCCTTTGGCGTGCAGTCACCTTCTGTGCAGGTGGGGACGGACAGGGTGTGTTCCCATGGATATGTGTGCCCCACTGAGTCTGAATGCCGACCTGCACCCAAGGGAGAGGCTATGGAAATGCCACCTGAGAAGATTTGTGAGGAAGCCTCGGCAGGGGCTCTGACTGGGAGCAGGAGAGCCGGAACTCGGCTCAAAGATGAGCACTGCTGGGTGCAGCTCCCCTGCCTTGGCTCAGACATTCTTGAATGATCAGGGCAAGAGACCACCGAGGGGGAGGCCAGGTGAAGACTAAGGAAAAGCATGCTGACTGTGACTTATCAGCGGCGAGGCAGGACGGGTGCAGCGACAGCACTTGGGCTCCAAAGTCCGACCCCTGGCTTTTGAAATCTGGTTTCTTTCAAAGCCGTGTGACTTTGAACAAGCTATTAATCTCTGCGAGGCTTGGCTGCATTATCTTTAGACTGGGGTTACCTTGAGGATTAAGTGGGCCAATTCGCATAAAGTGCTGAACAGAGTACCTGTCATATGGTAAGTGCTTCATAACTGTTAGGAACGATGATTCCAGCAACTTAATAAAAAAGCATTTAAAGCCAAAATACATCAAACCAGGTAAGAGGGAACGAAATCTAAAACATCAAAACAACAAAATAATACAATGAAACCTCAGAAAAGGTGTTGCATTAATTAAGGATCTAGGTCCAAGAGCCAAAGGTCTTTTAGTGCTTACATTTAAATAAAAATAAAAGAAGGGAATGTGTATGTGTGTGTGTCCATGCACATGTTTGCGTTCTTCAGCATTTCAAATGGGATAATGGGGGATTTTCTAGGGTTACATGGCAAGTACTTTTAGCCCCAAATGCAATGTAACAAATCACTGCACAAGGAGCTCAGGGAGGCAAACAGCTAAAGTTTTCATGGTGTGATGCTCCAATGATGAGGCAGCCTTGGGAAATGCTCCTGGAAGGAATAAACCACAAGCCAGGGCAAAAATCAGGAAAGGCAGGATTTGGGGGCAGTGTTTAGCTGGGGTGTGACCAAGAGTCTAGGGAGTAAAACCTTTAATCCAAAGAGCAGCGGCTCTTGGTCCTCAGAGACCAGAGAGCCTGGAGGGAACGGTGTGGCCCTCGGCTAGAGGCCAGTAGGAGAGGCCCAAACTGGCCTGGATGGGCTGGAAGTGACACCAGGGCACAGCTACAAGGACGTGTCAGACTTTCACTAGCACCCAGGAGAGAAACCACGGGTGCAGGCAGCTCCCCTGTTGCTCCACACACTTCACTTCTGAAAGCTGCCTGACCACACCCACTCTGCCTCCCCATTGCCTCTGCCAGCTCCTCTGAAGGTCTCTGCACCTCACCACTGCAATGCCTCTTTCTACAACAGTGTTAGTCTCAGACTAGAAGATGGTGAGCTTTAAACTTCTCAAGTACCGAGTGCTCTTTTCTTTAAAAAAAAAAAAAATCTTTTTATTGATTTCAGAGAGGAAAGGAGAGGGAGAGAGAGATAAAAATATCAATGATGAGAGTATCATTTATTGGCTGCCTCCTGCAAGCTCCCCGCTGGGGATGGAGCGCACAGCCCCGGCATGTGCCCTGGCCCGGAATGGAACTAGGACCTCCTGGTTCATGGTCGATGCTCAGACACTGAGCCAAATTGGCGGGCAATGTGCTGAGCGTTCTTCACACAGACAATATTACAGACTTACATACTTAGATGGGAAAGAGCTTTATTTGCCTACTTCTACCCGCAGAAGCCTACAAGTTCCAATTTTGAGGATCACAGTTCAAGGCTCTGCTACTGATGTGCATTTACCATTTCAGGGCCCTCAGTGAACAATGGGACCAGAGAGACCTGGTGTGAATCCCGGCTTTGCACTTACCTGCCCCGCCACATGGAACTAATTACTTCCCCTCCCTGAAGCTCAGGTTCCTCTTTCTAAATGGAGATGATATGCACTTTGCATGAGAAATGATGAATAAATGCAAAGAGATAATGATAGGAGATAAGATCTTGGATATCAGCAAGTATTCCCCCCCCCCCCTCCCGCCCCTGACACACAGAAGTCCCTCAATACTATTATAGTAATTGCAAAGGTTGGATAGTATTGCTGCTGGTCTGCATATTAATATTCCAGAGCCCCAAAGAGGTTTATGGGATTCACTGCAAACTGAAACTGAGGCCCTGAATGAGCCATTTCAAAAGCAATCTGCTCCTGCTGTCTGCAATTCGCCCCCCTTAACTGCAAGGGCTACTGGACAGTGCAAGTGAACGGTGTAAAGCAGTGTTTCCCAAACTTTTGACATATGTGTACCCCTTCTATAATTTTCCTAACGCTGAGTACCCCTCGTACTCATGAGAATGTAGAATTAGGCGCAGCTAAGCACGGTGCAGTGCATATCCCCACCAAACTCCGGTGCAATGTGTACCCCCACCAAACTCTTCCTGTACCCCTGGGGGTACGCATACCACACTTTGGGAAACACTGCTGTAAAGAGTTAACGGGAAGCATGACAGTGTTTGGGAAAACTGTAAAATTCCTGCCCCATTACTGCACAGTTGGTGAACCTTTCATCTGCCACCCGACTTCCTCTGCTCGGTCAGCTCCCTAATTGTCTAGAGGATGTGATGTATCTGGCACAGGAAGGAGGCCTCAGAGCAAGGTTCTGGGAAGGAGGCTTTAATAAGTGTCTGGGCTGTAAGATCACAAAGGAAAGAGCCTCGGCCAGGACAAGCCATGCCGGAGGTATGGTTCCCCACAAAAATGAGAGCAATGCCTGCAGGTGAAGGCAAGTTCTCGGCCACAAGCTGGAAGACAAGCCCCGGGACACAACGGTGTCTGGAAGGCCTTGCAGAGGCTTTCCTCGGTGTGCAGAGGAGTAACAAAGGAGTGTCAATAAAAGCAGGCCTGCTTCTCCACACTTGACAGTTCACTTACCTGCTTACTCACTGTGGTCTAGTTAACACCTGTATTTCCCTTCTTAGTCATGGACTCATTCATTTCTCATTACTTCATTCATTCCACTAATGTTTATGAGGCATCTGTGTGCTAGGCACTGTTTGGGGCATTGAAGATCTATCAGGGATAAAAGGGACAAAATCCCCTGTCCTCAGAGGCTTAAATTCCAGTGGAGAGAGACAACAGATGAAGATACATACAGAGAATGTGAAAAGGTGATAGGAGCTATGTAAAAGATAAGAAAGCAGGGAAGACAAGGAAGTGCCAGAGAGAGGAGTGTGATTTTAAGTAAGGTGGTCAAGGAGGCCTCATGAGAAGGTCATCTTTTATTTTTAAATAGATTTTTATTGATTTCAGAGAGGAAGGAAGGGGGAGAGAGAGAAAGACATCAATGATGAGAGAGAATCATTGATTGGCTGCCTCCCGCATGCCCCACAACCTGCGGACGTGCCCTGACTGGGAATCGAACTAGTGACCTCTTGGTTCATAGGTTGAGCTCAACCACTGAGCAACACCGGCCAGACAAGAAGGTGATATTTGAGCGAGGCTTGAGGGGTTGAGGGCATCCCAGCTTTCTGCAGTGCCTACATCAAGGTCACACCATGCCAAGCCCTTTATTTCTAAGAGCATTCCGCCTCATCCTCTGTGGCATTTAAGGTTTGAGTGCTCCCAGCAGGCTAGGCCCGACCTCAGGGTGGGATCTGGGCCCTCAGTGGGTACCCAGGGAGTGGCCCCCGCCAAGAGAGGCGGAGTGCAAAGGCAGCCGGGCATGCTCACCTCCTCCAGCCGCCGCCGCTGCTCCTTCTGCTCCTCGATGCGCTTCTGGCGCTCGGCCAGCAGCTGCCGCTTGTGCTCCTCGTTCTCCCGCTGCTGCTGCTCCAGCTGCTGCCTCCGCAGGGCCTCGGACCGCTCCTTGTTGGCCAGCTGCAGCCGCAGGAAGTCCCGCCGCAGGGTGGACTCTCCTGGCAGGTTCAGAATGGAGCTGTGGGCAGGACAGAGAAGTCAGGATCCCACACGGGGCAAGAGCAACTGCTACCAATGCCCCAGACAGTGCCTAGCACACTTAGGAGAGGAGATCAGGGCAATTAAATAGCCCCTCTAAAGGAACCACTTGCTCAAGCAAAGGCTCTTAGGTCCTCCATTAAGTATATTACTCACCCCCAAAAGAAACAGAGTCAAAGTCAGAGACTAGTGTCCAGACTCCCTTTCAGTTGACTACTGCATGCACATGCTGTCCTCTCCTTAGAGGGATGCCACATTCCAGAGGCCACATCGCTCTCACCCTGTGACATGGCAAAGATCTCTTTCTAAAGTCTTTAGTGTGTGTGCAAGTCCTGAGCCCCAGACCAGCTTAGTTTCACATTTAAGAAAGGCAAGAACAAAGCCAGAAAATAAAAATTAATCGGGAGCTGAGGGAGCCTACTCTCCTTAGAGAAGTACAGTTCACCATCACTCACATCACCTCCTTGATTTCTGTACCAAAACACAGGAGGCAAAGGGCAGTCTGCTCAAGTGAAGATGTGATGAGCCAGGAAGGGACAGTGCGAGGTCCAAGTCGACAGCAGGACTTGAATCCAAGTTTGCCAAGTCCGAGGGGTCAGGACTTTTTTTTGTGACCCTCTCCCCCGTTAAAGTGAATTTAAGCCAAAACTGGTTTGGCTCAGTGGATAGAGCGTCCGCTTGCAGACTGAAAGGTCCCAGGTTCGATTCCGGTCAAGGGCATGTACCTTGATTGCAGGCACATCCCCAGTGGGGGTTGTGCAAGAGGCAGCTGATCAATGATTCTCTCTCATCAATGTTTCTAACTCTCTATCCCTCTCTCTTCCTCTCTATGAAAAATCAACAAAATATATTTTAAAAAAAAGTGAAGTTAAGTGGTTTGGTTCTGGTCACAGAGGGTGCATGCAACTGGGACTTCAACCAGCTCACTGATCCTAGATTCTCTTTAAGAACTGTGAGTCTCAATTCTACCTTACCTGCAAAATGGCCATTAGGCACATGCGTGTACATGTATGCGTTTGCATGTGCATGTGGCAGAGAGAACAAGGAGGGCAGAGGAACACCAAAAGCACTGCTGTCCTACTCATCATCCAACTGCATGTGTAAAACTCAAAGTCACAGGCACAACAGCCTAACAGACAGCTAGAAAATGGCTCTTATTTGTTCATACAAACCTAGCCCCTTTAATCTTTCTGGCAGCTCTCACTTGAAATAACTATTATACATTAAATAATTGTTTGAGTGCCTACTACATAGCAGGCTTTAGTGTATACAGTAGGAGGTAACCAAATTCTTTCTCTATAGTTTCCTTCTTGTGGGAAAGACTGAAAAATAATTAGGCAGACAGACCAATAATTACAAATTGCACAATTTCAGGTACTAATCGGCTCTACAGAAGATAAAGTGTAATAGTGTAAAGTGATAGTGGCAAGGGTGCTGGGGTAAAGATTAGGGTTCTGCTTTGGATGGGGTGATCAGGGAAGACCTCGCCAAGAAGTTGAGCTAAGACTCAACTGATAAAGAGTCAGTCTTAAGAAGAGGTAGGGCAGAATCCTTCAGGCAGAAGGAAAAGCAAGTACAGCTGAGCCCTGAATAACACGGGGGTGAGGAGTGCTCACCACTGCCTTGTGCAGTAGAAAATCTGTGCATAACTTTGGACTCCTCCAAAACTTAGTTATTACTTAATATCCATCAAGGACTGGTTCTAGGAATACCACCCCTTCCCCCACAATCCCTTTGCAGATACCCAAATCCAAGGATGGTCTAGACCCGTGTATATACGGCATAGGTCAATGCACAAAGTTAGCCTTATGTATCTGAGTGCACGGGCAGTTCAAAACCATGTTAAGGGTCAGCTGTATAGAGGCCTGTGGTGGGGACAGGTGTGGCCTCTTCAAGTAACTGAGCTCCAGGTGGTCTTTCCCAGAGCAGAGGGAATGACAAGGAGCGTGATAGGAGAGGTCAGAGAGACAGGGAAGTGAGGGCAGAGCCACCCAAGGAAAAGTTAAGCAGGAGAGTAACATGATATGATTTGTTTGGCTGCTGAATGGACGAGAGTCTGCAAGGGGTAGGAGGACAAGCCAGGCCACCAGCTGGGCTGCTCCTGAAGTGGCTCTGGGGTGGAGACTTCAGGACAGGAGTGGCAGGGATGGGAGTTGGGAGAATCACGTGGGGCAGAATTCATGAAATCTGTTGGTGGATCTAATGTGTGGATTGAAGGGTGACTTGCACCTGGTTTGGCCTTGGCACCTGGGCAATGGTGGTGACAACAACTGAGACGGAGAATGCTGGTGGGAGGAGCCGCTTTGGAGGCAGCTGATAAGGTGATCATTCTGTTCTGGAGATTGGATAGCGTGCTATGTGAGATACTGCCCGAAAATGACATAAAAAGCCTTCGTTTGTAACATTGCAGACAAAGACAGTGCTTGGATTCTATTATATTATACTAACAATCCTCCCCTAAAATGTACAGTCTTTGTGTAGAACTCCAAAGCAAACCCCAAATGACAACGCTTATCTTCACAGGCCACCTGCTCTGTGCAAAGGGGGAGGGAGGGGAGGGAGAGAGAAGGGGGCGGGGCTTCTTGACCTTCACGTGCACACGAGGACGCTGGATCAATGTCAGGTGACCTGAGCTGTATTACTGACTCCATCATTAACTCGCTGTGTGATTAGGTTGCCACCCTTGGACTGTTTGTTACCTCATTTCTAAAATGAAATAACCACGGTCTCTTTCTACTTCTCAGGATTTCATGAAGATTATTAATTAGATGTGTCCATAAAACAGGACTTGGAACATAGTCTTCGACGTGATCTAATGACATGTTACAATTATAGAAATGTCAAGGCATGGCTAGATTGGCTCACTAAGTGACTGCTAACATGCAGTTTAGCAAGCATTAGTTAAAAAGGGCTTTTTTCAAGATCTCTGCAGAGAGATCAGAGTGACTGACACGGCTGCCTGGGTGAGCTTTGGAAAACAATGTACAGCTTCTCTGAAAGCAGGGCATTTGGTCCTTAGCTTGACAAGAACGATCATTTGCCATGTCACAACTTGACAGTCATCATCTCAAGGCTAAGCCAGGGGTGGCCAGGATGTTAAGTATTAGCTGGAGGGAAAGAATCATCTCTCAGTCTTTGACCTTGAGAAGTCCTGTAGCATGAAACAGAAAAACCGGGTGGCCCAGCAAGCTCAGTTCCGCCTGCCTTGTTCCTGGTATTTTGGCAATAATCCAGCTTGGTAGGTCTGAGTTAGCTCCAGAAAGGACCCACAGCTCATCTTAGCAGTGAATGAGCAGGCCCCTTCCTTGGTCAAGAAGCTCCGCCTCCACAGTATGGGAACTGCTCCTTTTTTAGGAGCACTGGGTTTCCCTCCTGGGGTGGCTAATGAATGAAGACCCATATATCCCAGTGATGTTTCTACTTGTGCATTTTCCCCAGTTAATCTCACTTCACCCGAACTGCGTGCCCACTGTGATGTGTGTGACTGTGTCCTGGGCTCTCTGAACTGCCGCCAGCTGAATTCTCTCATGAAAGAGAGATCCTGGCGGTGTGAGCACACTGGCATTAATTATTTATAAACACAGACTGGAAGAAAGTTGGAATCAAAGTCAAATGAAATTCAAAAGGTAGAGATGATAATAATTAAGCAGCACTTGATTCTGGGGTCTGACAACATGACAACAGGAGTGGGCATGAAAGTCTCTATTTAGGGTTCAATGCTAGAGTGTAATTTGATTTTCTGGAAATGGTTTCCTCTTGGATTAGGCTGCGGGTGAAAATACCGAGGCCTGTGACAAGAACAGTGGCTGCCCAAATGGGCTTCTCAAAGGTATGAATTGAATGACTCACGTCCAAAAATACCACTTAGGTCTCCAGAAAGATGTAGTTTTAGGTGGTTTTAGTCCTGTATCACTCAGATGATCGCCTGCTGCCCATTCTACACATTACAGATGTGAAGAAAGAAGGCCTTAGAATAGAGACCATCGCCGAAACTGGTTTGGCTCAGTGGATAGAGCGTTGGCCTACGGACTGAAAGATCCTTGGTTCGATTCTGGTCAAGGGCATGTACCTTGGTTGCAGGCACATCCCTGGTTGGGGGTGTGCAGGAGGCAACTGATCGATGCTTCTCTCTCATCGATGTTTCTAACTCTCTATCCCTCTCCTTTCCTCTCTGTAAAAAAATCGATGAAATATATATATATTTTAAAAAGAATAGAGACCATAAATCTTGGGGAACAAGATAAAGAATATGCTGATTTCCACATTTTCATGAGTCTGCCTAGGGAAAATTTCCCAAATGAACGAGCATGTTTGTAGGCAATAAATTAAATAAGACCATCATGCTGGGGCTCTTAAAAAAAAAAAAAGAACCTATAAATCAATAGGAAGTGAATCACAAGCACAATTCAGAAGGTGGAAATGAGAAGATGTGGCTCTTGCGCTCCTACCTGGGCTCTCCAGAGTCATTCTCCTCCTCTTCTTCCTCACTTCCGCTGTACTCGTATTCGGTCTCATCTAAAGAGAGACTCACAGGTTAGTGCATAACAAGGAAACTACAGCCCTGTGAAGTCCAATCCCTCATTTCATATATAAATAAACCGAGGTCCAAAGAGTTGTTATTAATGCTGAGCAGAGCAGGCTCCAGGCACCCTGACTTGGGCTCCGAAAGTTCCCATTAGCTGCATCCAAGTACATGGAATTAATCACACCCAAGCCTGTCCTGCCTGACTCAAGATCTCTGTTTCCAATGCCCAGTGCTCATACAAAGGTGAAGACAAGGAACTGAAAAATCACCTTTCAGTTTGTGTTGACTCACAACGTAGAACCAGCTAAATGAATCTTTCATTGGCTCAGTTAACTTATTGTGAGTTTTAATAATTTTTCAAGTAGGAATTTTAATAGGACTTATATGGACTCATAAATTACCTTTAGCTATCATGACAAATATCAGAAAGAAACTTTTGACAGTATGTGATATTAAAAATATGGTTAAATGTGTTTTGATTGACCCTATGGGGACATCCATTTAATTCAATAATATGTTTAGCAAGTTAACATGCAATAATGATTAAGTCTGAGTCTTTGCTTTGCAGGAGATCAAAATTTAATGGGCAAGATGGATAAATAAGTAATCAGAGCCCCTGTGATTATAAAGAAAGGGAACTAACCTTTGTTGGGTATCTCCCATGCCAGTCACCATACTTAACACTTTACCGATGTTTTCCTATTTATTTCTCATAATAATCCTTTAACATAATACCCACTTTTCAAGTGAAGACACTGAGATTATAAGAGGATAAGAAATATGACCAATGTCACCTAATTAATAAATCTGAAACTTGGATTTAGAATTCAATATAAACTTTTCCCAATTTTAAAACTAGTGTTCTTTCAACATATTATATGCTAAATAGAAGTACACAAAAATAGCAATACGATATCAGAGAAAGGATCAGCCGAGTTCACTGGTCGTGATGGGGAAGGGGGACATGAAATCTTTGAGGAGAAAATGGGTGGGCTTTGGAAGGTCAGTGGCTCTCTTCCAGGCAGATGGTAGTGGAAAGTGGTGAAAAAGGGCATTCTAAGCAACATAACTAACTGATTGTGGCTGACAGTGTTATAGTGCACGGCGTATTCAGAAAACAATGACATGAGTGGTGAGATGTCTGGGTGTGAGAAAAGCAGATGGAGTGAGAAAGGCTAGCAGATCTGATATATATATATAAGGCTTGCTGTTCCTTATATAAACCATGCATGTAGCTTTTGATTTTAAGCAAGGAAGGGTAGTGTTGTATTACTGTTATTCTTTCATAGCTGTGGGTTAGTAATTATCACTTGGAAAATATCTTTGTACCCCTAAAAAAACTAAAAGTGCAATTTGGTTATGTTACCACCAGGGGCATGCTGAGGACTATAGCATCCTATATAATAAAAGGGTAATATGCAAATTGACCCTAAGGGCAGAATGACTGGTTGCTATGACGTGCACTGACCACCAGGGGGCAAACGCTCAATGCAGGAACTGCCCCCTGGTGGTCAGTGCGCTTCTATAGGGGGAGAGCTACTCAGAGAGAAGCTGGCTCATGGTTGGCCAGAGCAATGGCGGTGGCGGGCTTAAGCCATAAATTGGACATTCCCTAAGGGCTTCCAGGCTGAGGAGACCCCCTCTTCCCCCCACTGCTTTCCATACTATTTAGCCATTAAAGGGATAATTAAATGAAGCTGAAAGTGAGATGACTTCAAGCATATTTTCTAAAATCACAAGTTAGCTTCATATATTTAGGCTACTTACATAGAGAAGCTTCATGAAATGTCTCAATATTCCACATTAAAAGTTTAATATTTCCAACTTTCAATAAACAGAGTTCAAAGTAAAATGCAGAAAATTTATCTATTAAAGGTAATTATAGCAAGGGAAAGAAAGCACCCAATTAATCCAATTATTTGTACTCTCTAGGGTAAAACCTTCATTTATCAGGCTTGTTAACTGTAATACTTCTTCAGAATGTGGTTTGATTGCTTTTATAACACTGGCTTAAATCAGCATGTGTCAATCTATTAAAAAAATAATATCAGGCAAAAATATCATAAAGCAATGAACATTAAAATTATTTGATTCACCGGGCTGGAGAGACTCAATTAGTTGAGCAATATTCTGTGCACCAAAAGATTGCCAGTTCAATTCTCAGTCAGGGCACATGCCTGGGTTGAGTTTGATCACTGGTTGGAGCACATAGAGAAGGCAACCTATTGATGTTTCTCTCTCACACAGATGTTTCTCTCTCTCTCTCTCTCTCTCTCTCTCTCTCTCTCTCTCTCTCTCTCTCTCTTATAATAATAAATAAAATAAAAAATTATTAGATTCTATGGTCGTTACCAAAAGGGAAGGGGAGTCAAGGAAGTTTGAAGAGGGTAAAGGGTCAAATATATGATAATAGAAGGAGAGTTGAGTATACCTACTACCAGAACTCCTCTCTTCTATTTTGCAAAGAAGGAACACATTCATCATAGTCTGTTTTCATGGGGTAGAGAGTTCTGACTCACATTCCAGTTTATATCAACAAAATGTGAAGACAACCTAAGGCACACACTTTATTCATCCTTACAGGTCAGAGGCAGGAAGTTCTCAGAAAGTAATCCTGGATGGTACTGAAAAGTTACAGGTCAATAAAGAATCATCTAAATAAGAATAGCCAATATTTATGAATATGTCTATGTGCCAGGCATTGTATGAAGTGATTTACATGTACTATCACAGTTAATCTTTGCAACAATGCCAGACAACACTAATCATTATAATATAAATCCAGTTCTATTTTAAAGATTAGAAAACTGGGGGAAGTTCACATAACTAGGAAAGAGTAGACTAGAACCTGAACTTAAAATTTGAGTCTGAAAACAAAATTCTGACCACTTAACCTACTTTATGTATCCACAGTAAAAGAAACTTCCTTTTGTAGAGAAAGTGGCCTTGAATGGTTACATGTCTCACACACCACCCTAAATTACTTCCTTTAAAATTGTGACTTCACAGAGTGGTCCAAGACTACTATTAATAAGTAAAGAGTTGAAAAAAATCAGTCCTTTTTGACTATCACTTACCTATTTCTTTTCATGCCTAGTTCCTCCAGCTTGGGCTGCCCCATCCCCAGCACCTTAGTTCTAATTGACATCTTGTCCTTCTCCATCACAAACATTTGGAGGTGGACCCCCCTTTTGGCTGAGCCTTCTAACCTCCTGCTCCTGAACCTAACCTGATCACATATTTTCCTGAGTCTCCAGACGGACAACAAAGAAGGATCTCTTCTCTTGAACCTTCATGAGGATCTCTCCTCCGCTCCAAGCCCTCTGGTGATCTGACCTCTGTCTAATCTTGATTCCTACACTGCTCAGTACCTCACCCCCTAGGTCCCTGATCATACCTTGCCACATTAGATATTAACTTCAGAGGCAAAGAAGAAGGAAAACCAAATAAAAAGAGAGAAACCCTGTCCTAAGCTGCCCATCACCTTCCACTACTCCTTCTGGATTGTGAAGAACAAAGGAGAGAGGTGGAGAGGATGGAGGCAAGGAAAAGCATATCACCAAGTTCCTCCCATCCCCATCCCTGACCTTCCTCCCTATTCTCCACTCCCTGCACACTCAATGCTCACCTTGCCAGCTCTAAACGGCCTCCTTACTGTGACTTTAGTGCCAGCTTCCCCCTCCTTTTCCCATTGTCTATCCTCTGTATCTCTCCCTTTTATTCCCTATCTTAACCTTCCCTACCTCCCAGCCCAAGAAGACATAAAACCTGCCCCAGACCACATGCATGTTTACATTGGTCAGGATATTAATTAAGGAATTTTTGAGTCTCTATCCAAACAGTCCTAGGACCTCAAGTTTGGACTGATGTCCTTTCCAATAATGCAGTGAAAAAACAGTGTGGTATAACAGCCAGAGCCACAAGAGATACGTTTTTGAATCTATAAATTAAGAAGTGCATTAAATGATCTTCCAGATTCAAAAGAAAAAAAAAAGGCCTGGCAATCTCATTTATTACACTGAGACAATAAGAACATTTATTCTGACTTCCAAATAACTAAATTAGAAATGAGCCTCAGTGCACAAATTCTTTAAATGTTGAAGACTGCCAGTACCGAGAAATGTCAACTAGATTTTTTAGGTTGTCTGTCTTCGGTAGATCTTCAGTCTTCAAAACATGAATATTCATTTGAATGAAGAAAACCACTTGTCGTATTAAACCACTTCATATAATAGTATCACTCAACATGACTCTTTGTTCAGTGCCTGGAAAAGGTGATATTTCTCTCGGTTCTATTCTCTCATGAAAGATTCCATTCAGCAGTCTCACTCCATTGATGCCCACAGGCTGTGATCTCAGAGGCAGCCCCTCACACGAAAGAATAATGCAGGCCCATTAGAAACCCTCCCTAGTCACCTCCAAATACATCAAGAGTTCGGGACTCACTCCATCTTTTGTTTCCCTGGCTGCAATACAAATGTGCCTCTAACCTTTCTCGCCTCGCTTCTTCTTTGTTCTATCGATATGATCCTTGAGTTGAATGCGGACCTGTCGTTCATTAGGTTGGTCTCGTATAAATGGGTGCTTCATCAATTGCTCTGTTGCTGGTCGCTGGCTATGATTCTTCACCAAGCAGCTCTCAATAAATGACTGGAATTTCTTTGACCTGTCAGACAAAAGAGATGAACCACAGGTTAAAAAGACAATCCGAAGAAAGGCAGACATATTTTTTTGAAACGCTAGAATAAAAAAATTAGAAAAAGGAAAATAGATCCAATCAGCCAATGTAGAGATCGACCCATCTCAAAGTGGGTCTAGCTCTTTATTAGGTACAATGGGGTCAAAAGGCATCATCACCATCAACACACAATTCATGGCTTCTATGGTAGTGATTATATGTGAAAGTATTTTTTTTCTCACAATTCATACATAATATCTCACAGGAAACCAAAAGGAATCAGAGAAAGAAAGAGTCCATTGGGAATCAGACCTGGAAGTTCTATGGGAATGAGAGAACCACTGCTGGGTCTTAAAGAATCAGGAAGAAATCACTCTGGGGAAAGGACAGTTCAGGGAGGTTATAAAATCAGTGAAAAACTCCAGTTGGGAGTGAGTACACTGTATGTCAGGGGTCACTGAAGTGAGATATCTAAATGAGACAGAAAATGCAATATGAAAAAAGTAAAACCAAGGTTGGATAAAGGAGTCCATTTTGTGAAAATGAACAAGATTCTTCTATGGGACAGTGAACTTGACCTGGCAAAAAAAATTTTTTAAAAATATATTTAATTGATTTTTTTACAGAGAAGAAGGGATTTTTTCCCAGAGAGTTAGAAACGTCAATGAGAGAGAAACATCGACCAGCTGCCTCTTGCACACCCCCTACCGGGGATGTGCCCGCAACCAAAGTACATGCCCCTTATTGGAATCGAACCTGGGACCTTTCTGTCCACAGACCAACGCTGGTTTCAGCTGACCTGGCAAAATTTTTAACTGGTAATTTCAGAGTCATTTTTGAACTCTGCTTTCCAATTAACTAAATCAGGATGTATGCATATGCTTGTTATCAACCCACGGATTTAGAAATTTAGCTTTAAGGGACTAAGTTCATATCCGGAAGGCAATATTTCCTCAAAGATAAGCCCTTTGCCCCAGGGGCAAGGGAGCACTGGTGAGAGATACTACACCAATGATTAGGGAAGCAGATAGAAATTAATGGACTTTAGTTATGATTCACAAGTGGAGCATGCATGTTCCTTCTGAAAGTTCCAGCAAGATAAATAATTAAGCTCATGACTCTATAGCGGACCTGTCCAAGGTGTTCCATTGCTAATATGGCACTTCACCCTAAGAGACCTCTGCAGAACCCTGGTCACCCTACTCACCATCCCCACCCTGCTCAGAGCTGGAGGGAACCAATTTTGTGCTCTCTGTCGCCCTCTTGTGAAGCACTGTGGCCTTACAGGAGCGCATTCCAGGAGCCAGCCTTTCCCAAGTTTCCCAGCAGGCCCTCAGTGTGTGTGTGTGTGTGTGTGTGTGTGTGTGTGTGTGTGTGTGTGTGGTGTATTTACTTAAGGCCTTGACACCACACAGCACATAATGGTGAGCGTGCTCCTCAAGATTCAAATGTGAGAGGACATTCACATGTGCACCACTTTAGTCCTGCCCAGGTCAAAGCAGTTTCTCACCTTTTCCCAAGTTTTTAAAGTACTGAGTTTTTTTATATTTTTCCTTTCTAAATTTCTAAACTATGCCCAAGCTTTTAAAAACATATTATAAAAGTAAAAGTAACCTGCTAGCTTGGGGTCAACTTGGGATGAATCAGGATTGACTGTAAATCATGTAACAGGATGGACATTCTATGCACCTTGTATGTCCTACAGCCATTACCTGCTTCTTCCACATTGGAAATCCTGTGTTTGGATGTGCTTGAGTCATATTTGTAACATGAGCACACTACCTGCTCTGATATGTTTGATGAACAAATGTGGCTATCGGACAAGAGCTGTCCTAGGGCTACCTTCAAATCGTGAGGGACAGAAAGGGGGGCTTGGAGAGTAGATATTGTTTTATTATGTTGTTTTTCTCAGATCTATCAGGTAAATCTGTGGAGGCACAAATGTGATTATCACCCAAGAAAAGACCTTGTAAAAACAAAACAAAACAAAAACACTCCATAATGAATTAATGGACTCTCCTAAGGAATCAACTTAGGAGAATGAGGTTAACCTGCATAAAGAAATAAACAAACTCCACACGGTGCTTTTCTAGGTAGAAAATCAATATTAGGAAGATGTAAACAAAACAGACAGGAAACTATTAAATATGCACAAAGAATGCAAATGGCAGCTCTCTTTTTCCTGCTTCCAACTAGAAGGAAGTGTTCATTTTTCACAAAGTGGTCAGCTATTAATTAGAGGATGATAAATAAAAGAAATCACACCCAATTTAAAAAGGAGCTTTCCAGGCTTAATAGACTGTCCATGCCATTCCCCAGTACTGACACCTCACAAACTCGGAGAAACCTCCAGGATGAGAATGTTGAAGATGTTCAATGGAACCAGCCTATCTCAGAGTCACTTCTCCAGACTCTCTCACAGAAGGAAAGAACCTCAAAAGATATTCAAGAGGACAACTTTAGGTCCAAGGGGTGGACCTAGACACAGAACCACAAAGCTGGCAATGTGTCCCGCATCTTCTTCAAACGGCACTGTGTTTGAAGAGAACATAATGCTGACTTACAAGTCTTCAAAGAAAGCTTCATCATCTCTTATTTAAGTGGATGTGACCAAAGAATCAATATACTTAATTACACATTTAATGAAAACGAAAAACACCACCGATGTTGAACACTACCTGGCTATTTGCTGAGCAGTTTTAAGGGTTTAAAGTACATTTATATAACTTTATTGTTAGAATCTTTGCTACCAGTAATTTAGTTCTGTCTTCTTCTTCTTCTTTTTTTAATGCCTAAGATTAGTAGCACTAATTTCGCCAGGGTTGGCATGGAGAGATAAATGTTAATGATGGGTGTTTGTAGTCTGAGACACTAGTTCTTATATAATAATACCAGTGTCGCTGAACACTTTATCCTACCAGATTTTTCCTGCTTACATATTAAATTGTGCTAAAGGAATTAAAAATACCTGAAAGATTGTTATGTTAATCATTATAACCAGACAGGCTAAAAGTTGTTGGTAATCATACATGCAATTTGACCTTTAAAATGTGTATTTCCCAGAACTATCCTTTCTCTCCCCCCTACCCCCCTCCATCCCTTGGGTTCTATCACTTACTATGTGATTTTAAGCAAATAATACAACTTCTCTGTGCCTCAGTTTCCCTGGCTGCAAAGAGGGAGATTAAGTACTTTTCTCAAAAGACTGCTGTGATAACTAAATGAGTTAATTTGTACCAAATACTTAAAACAGTGCCCATTACATGTAAGTACATGTACCAACACACATAAATGCTGTAGACATGATTGCTAATATTTCTGAAATATGGTGTGTAGCTGCTCAAAGAAAACCCACTTGTTGGCTGTGGGAAGCTGGACACGGCTGTCCAGGGGCAGGACAGGGAGAGAAGAGGGAACAGGGTGAGTGGAGCCCACTGTGTACAGCATGCTGTGTGTGAGTGCCAAGCAGAAACCTGGCAGAAGGCTCCGTGGTGCCACTGCCGCTTCCAGGGGACAGAACTGCGTTGCCTCCTCCCTCGGGGAGTCTGTCTGTTCCAGGGAGAAAGGAGGAAGCAGGGCCTGAGCACCGGGCGATCACAGGCTGTGCCGGTGCCCAATGGGAGGCTGTTGCTGGGGAGAGAATAGTCTCACATCACAGTGACCCTTGGAGAGAGAAGCAGGAGCGGAGGATGCTCTGCCTCCTGGTTACCAGTAGCAACTCTCCCTCTCTCTTCCTGCAGCCTTGGCAACTCCAGGGCTGCCGGCCCTTCTGGCAGTCTCCTTCCTTTCCTCGGTGCAGTGTGCCTGTCTCTGCTCCCCCCGAGTGGCTGTGCCATTTCTGGGTGACTGATATTGATCAAGACTGCTCTCTGAATAGTGGAGGGTGAAACTGTGAGTGGGTGAGAAACAGGAGGGGCTCCAGGCAAGGGCCTGATCATGAAGTGGCATGAGAGGCGGGCAGGAAATCTGTCCCGCATGCTCTGAAAAAGGACAGGAGGTCATAGATGGTCCAGGAATTGACACCTGTGCAAGGGGAATCAGAGGTTCAAGGATACACAACAGGGAGGATACCACAGCCACAGGGGTAACGGAGGGAGTGATGCATTTTTGTTATAGGCTAATAAAGCACAAAGACCCTCATATAAGCACGTGTCAGAAGTCCAACCTACCTATGAAACTCTCTTTCCCAAACTTCACTACTAATAATTCGCACTATACCTTTATACCCCCATACCAGAATTCGCTTAGTATTTTACTTCAAGTCACTTCTTTTATGTGAATAAGTTTATTAAACAGCAAGGTTATACCACCACCCAAAATAAGAAGCTGGTATCACCTGTCATAAAATAAAGCAATAGAAAAACCCCAAATTATAAATGTTCGTGGACAGTCCTATGAAATCATCTCATATACCACCAGGTGTGTGTATGCACTTAGAGAATTATTGTCTTAAAATGTAGAAGAACAGTAAGCCAATCTAACAGGCAGACTCTCTGAACTATCACCCTATCTGGATTGTGCTTCCAGAAGAGATATTACTTGGGTTTGACTACCCATTTATATATATATAATTATAATTTTAATTTTTAAGTATATTTTTGTTGATTTCAAAGAGGAAGAGAGAGGGAGAGAGAGACAGAAACATCAATGATGAGAAAGAATCATTGATGGGCTGCCTCCTGCATGTCCCATACTGGGGATCAAACCCGCAACCTGGGTATGTCTCTGACCTGGAATCGAACTGTGACCTCCAGGTTCATAGGTCGATGCTCAACCACTGAGCCAGGATGGCTGGGCTTAACTACCCATTTTAGCTAAGAGCTCTTTTACCTGAAAGGTGTGGGGATAAAGACCTGCTGTGCAAATCAATAGTACCCCCTTTCCCACGGAGATGCATTTTGAGACCCCCAGCAGCTGCCTGAAACTATGGTTAGTACAGAACCCTATATATACTATATTCTTAATTATACATGCATACATACATTCACACATACATACATACCTATGATAAAGTTTAACTTATAAATTAGGTACAATAAGAGATTAATAACAATAACTAAAAATGAAACAGAACAATTACAATAATAACTGCAATGGAAGTTATGTGACTGTGTGTCTCTTTCTTTTTAAATATTTTATTGCAACGCAGTCACTTTTCTTCCTGTGATGATGTCAGACGACCCGATGCCTTCGCGATGAGATGAAGTGGGGTGAGTGATTAGGCATTGTGATGCAGCGTTAGACTATGGAGGATGAGCTGCTCGGGGTGATCATGGATCATGGAGTCGTGATGATTCCCATGGTTGGGAAAATAAAATATTTTTGGACAGCATTTAACTGCAGGTAACTGAAATCTCAGAAAATAAATCCATAGATAAGGGAGAGATCTCAATATGTATTTTAAGATGAATGATCCATATGTAAAATAATCACTCACAAAGTCTTAGTGTGTATAGTCTAATCCTGTCAGCAGGACATAAGTATTTGAGTTAACCCCCCCACCCCCCAAAGCCATTATCACAGGAAAGCCCTGCCCTTGGATCTGTAAAACACTGAAGAACAAACTCACCATTTCTTAGATTTCAGCCTCGGCGCAGGGTTCCGGGGGATGAGGAAGAGGGCTCGCATCGGGTGCATGTCGCAAAGAGCTGCAAGAGACCAAATGAGGGCCAGCTCCAGCCAGGAGGCCACACTCAGGCCAAGCTCATCCTGGCTGTGCAGCCAGTGTCACCACATGGCTCCCGAGTGCTCGCATGACCACTGAGCAGAGGGGAGAGATCACAAAGCCTCCATCTGGTGAGCGCTTAGCGGAGCCGATGGCCAACTACAAGCCTCATAAAACACAACACGTTTCAGCTAGAGAGTAATGTTTCTAATGTGCCTTTATATTAAAGAGTACGAAGTTAAAGGGTCCACAGTCTTCCCTTTACTATAAATAACCATCTAAGATTCAAAGTAAACAACATCAAGGGAAATGAAGTTATTTAATGATTAAAATCTTAAGTGTCAAAACAGGATATTTTGATCATCCATGGTCTTTTTATACACCGAAGGCTCATCCAAATACAATGTTATCTACATAGATTTTTGGAATATAAAACACTAGACCAGACACCTTTCCCTCTGTATTTCCAAATATCCTGAATGGCTTTTCGTGGGTTTATGATGGTTTTTATGTTTCATTTCATTCCCTGGCCCCAGGAAGCCCACAGGATTAAGGCTAACGCAGTCTGGCAGGAAAATTATAAAAATATCTCAACTTGTAAACATGACATTATTGTTTACAGTGAAAGCACTCAAACATTCTTATTTTAAGCACAATATTTCACTAGTTTACTTTTCAAACATCTGGGAATATCTTTTCCTTTGTGTCTAGAATAAGAATATATTCTCCCCCAAAGCTAAAGAATTCTGAGGGTTGCAGCTTATTTTTAGCCCCTTCAACTACTTATCAAGAGTGACAGTATGGTTTTGAGACTGTAATATATTGTTTTTTATGATTCATAAATGCCTTTTAGCATAGTGGATGAGGGGAAGTTGTCAACAAAGACTCCAAATCAATCAAACTTCAGATAATTCTATCAACTCTAGGGTGATGACTTGACGGTAAAAAGAACCACATGAACATAACAACCTGTCATGCAATTAGGAGCCTCTGAGAAGCAGCCACCAAGGAGTTATTAGATGTGAGAGGGGGCAATTTCTGCCTCAAAGGAAGTAGGGAGGGAGCCGGGGAAGGCTGAGGAAGTCATCAGATTGCTGTGCAAATCTGATTGGCTGAAGGTGAGAGGGAGAAAAGTAGGCAGAAGTGTGCTACAGTGTAAGGAAACTAAGGAATAAAAATAGGAGAGAAAGTTGCCTACAAAGGGTCTGCCCTAGATCCTTGCCATGCTTGTCACTGATGGGGAGTGGCCCTTGGAAGGTATAAGCCTCAGTGCAAGGCAGCAGCGAGGCCCGTGGTCAGTTGTGCCTGCTGCACGGGAATCTGTGAGGCATTGCTCATGACCTGACTGGCAGAGGCTCTCTGCAGTGCCATATTCCAGATCTCAAGGAATATTCCAGATCCTGGCCACTCTGCCTGAAATAAGTAGGGAAAGCTAAAAATCTAACCATCAGCATTTTAATAGGAGTGAAAGCAGTCAGGTATCAGTGTTTGTGGAAATCAGCATTGACAGTTTGTGAGAGTTTACAATCTTTGTGGGTTGGTCCCAGTTTTGTGGTTAAGTGAAGAATAGTTCAAAAATCAACTACACCGAATCTGTAAAACAAATAAGTTCACCCGAAGTTTGCCTCCCCTTTCTTTTCCTTTTCCCTCATAAATTCAAGATCCTCACACCACTCGGAAATGAATGGACTTCTGGTTGATTTAAGATGACTGCTTTCTAAATATGCCAGCGAGAATCCATGCTGGGCTCGGTGTAGCAGAAGTAAAGCTACCTGGCTCCTGGCACAGAAGCTTCAGTACCTGCAGAGCGGACAGCAACCGATTTCACCTGGAGGAAGATACTTACGGGGAGCACCTTCTGCCATCTCGATAGCGGTGATTCCCAGAGACCACAAGTCACTCTGGAAGAGAAGGAAGCACGGACATAAGTATGAATGCAGTCGCCAAAGGAGAACTTGGTTACACCTGGTAATTGCTTCAGAACTGCCCGTGGGGAAACCGTTCAGTCATCTCTTGACAAACCTATTACAGCTGCGAAGCTTCAAAGTAGTCAGAGCCTCATTCACTTTCATCGACAATTCCTTTCACCGTTTTAAAAATTAATTTGTCATTACTTGGGGTGGTGGAGCCATACTACAATATACAGATGATGTAGAGAGAATGGTACACTTGAAACCTATATAATTTTATTAACCAATGTCACCCCAATAAATTCAATAAAAATTAATTTAGCACTCAAATGTATCTCTGGCTTACGTCACATGAAACCACTGCTATTCAACTGCTTTCTACACTGTCACAGAATTAACTGCACATGTTTAAAGTGTTTCATTTGTAAGGTTTGACATATGTATACTCCTGTGAAACCATCACTATAATCAAGAGGAGCAGGAATCAAGTGGTTTTGTACTGTGAAATAGAAAGTGGATATTTGGAGGGTTTCCATTCTAAGCTATCTATATATATAAAAGGCTAATATGCAAAGTATCCCCCCAGTTCTATGATAGTTACTGGCCACCAGGGGGCGGCACAGAATGAAGGAGATAGTTGGCCAGGCCTAGGGACCCTACTTGTGTATGAATTTCATGCACTGGGTCTCTAGTTACAAATAAAGCTGCTACATCCATCACAAGTCTTTGTATGAACATACGCTTTTTTTTTTTTTTTTTTAAAGAAAACACTCACGTGTGGAATGGTATATATTCATACTATGTAGCCCAAAATCTGTCACACAGTGGCCTCCAGAATATTAATTTCCTTCTCCTCTACTATTAGGTGAGACTGCCTGTGCCTGTTCAATTTAATCTTCTCTAATTTCCCTCTATTTGGTTGTAGCAGACACTGTTTGTTGGCTAACCCAACAGACATTTTCAACCCCCATTTCCTTTGCGACCTTCATTTATGAGTGTAGGAAATCTAAGTGTGTCTGTCCAGACTTCCCTACAGTTAAGGATGACAATTAAGAATGTGACATAGCTGTGGCCAATGAGACACAGGCAAACATCTTCTGGGAGCTTCTGAGAAAGCTTTTGCTTTTCCTGAAATAAGTGACAAATACAGCCAATGTCTTGACAATTCTTCCCTACTTCTTCGTGCCTTGAAGAAAAGCATGCTCTTCTTGCAAACATGTGACAGTAAATCAACAAACAAAGCACAGAAAGGTAGCAGCCTGGGTTTTAAAGACATCAATGAGGCCCCACACCAACTCTGAACTGCCTGCCTGCCTTAAAAATTCTGAAATGTAAGTAAGTACAGCCCAAAGCATTCTTTACTGATAATATGCACATGGCAATGATTTGAAGAAGCACATTTTGACTGTAGGGAAATGAAAAGAGGGCCCAGTTGTTAGGTGAGCTTGGATTTATCCCATGGGAAGCAGAAAGGGTCCATGAAAAGAGATGCTGCCTTTATTCAGTTCACAACATCTCAGATCCCCTCTAAGGTGGCTTTCCCCAAGCCCCCAAACAACTCCTTCAAACCAAAGGCCATACCATCCCGACTCCTGAGCATCCTGTGTCACATGACCAGGCCAGAAACAGCTTCTTCCTTAAGCCTTTATTTGATGGCATCATTAGGATCCCCCGCCCCTCCCTGGGGTTCTCTTGTTTTACAAAAAGAACATTTATATTCCTTGTCATAGGAATATATATATGTGTATGTGTGTGTGTGTGTGTGTGTGTGTGTGTGTGTGTGTGTGTGTATCCAGAGCTGCTTGTAAGCTATGCTTAACTGTCCATGCTAGAGAGCGATAAATGAATAAATGTCCTACATGGGCCTTGTTCAAGCCTTTGGGTGCATTAGCAAGTCCCCAAGACACTTCAGAACTTAAATATGGGAGAAAAATGTTACAACTGGCAAGACAGATCGCAGGAGACGAGAAAGGGAAGAGGGAGGAACAAGATGAGGAGAGTCTGAGAGAGATAAGTTTCCTTCATGGCCATGGTGTGACTCATTTTGGCAGGAGCTCGGTAATTCATTATTTCAGAGGTACAGTGCAGCCTGCTCTGTGGCATGATTAATAGCCCAGTCTTGTGCGCATTACAAACAAAACAGAGACAAATTCTAGTGCCTCTGAGGAGGCGGAGGCAAGCACAACACTTCCGGCGGGTGGGGGGCCATCTGGCATGCAGGCAACTGGAGCATGAGATAGCAGGCCTTGGGGGTTGGGCTGCCCAACATGTGTAGAAAAGAATACTTTCAGATGGCCAAACCAAGCACACCAAAAAGAGGCAATGTGGCACAGACAAAGAGCCCAGCATGCTCTGAGAGGCAGAGAGAGCCCACGCTGGACAACCTAGCTTGGTGACTTGGGCAAGCCACCACTTAATTCCTCGGTGCCCATTTCCACACTAGTAATGTGAAGAGAATACTAACACAATGCAGTGCACATAGTGGGTAATTAAAAAATACTGGTGCAGACAGACCCTGAGGATAAGTTATCTGTGACTGGCAGTTCAACCAGAACACCTGAGTTAGGCAAAATGGCAATGGTGCTGGCTGGGCACACTATACATCTCTTACTTTAGTGACCTAAAGAAAAGCAAGGCCAGACTGGCCAGCATGGCTCAGTGGTTGAACACTGATCCATGAACCAGGAGGTCATAGTTCAATTCCCTGTCAGAACACATACTCACGTTGTGGGCTTGATCCCCAGTGTGGGACAGTTAAGAGGCAGCCAATAAACAATTCTCTCTCATTATTGATGTTATTATCTCTTTCCCTTTCCCTTCCTCTCTCTGAAATCAATAAAAATATATAAAAAAATAAACAAATAAAAGCAAGGCTAGTTTGTGTGCATATGGGGCGTACAGGAGAGAAAGATCTATACTAATAATAGATGAATATGCAAATCGTCCAGGATGCTGTCACAGTAATGACCAAACAGCAGGCTGGCAGGGTGGTTAGTGAGAGAAGGCCAAATGACTGAATAGCAGGCTACAAGTCATAGAGCAATGGACTGTGTACTATATTATGAGTTGCCCTTGCACTGAACATGCTATCTTGAGATCTGACCAGCTTCAATATGGACACTGCCTTTTTGCTTAAATGGTTCCATCATATTCCGCTGGACAGATGTGCTAGTCTATTCAACCAGTTCCCTACTAATGGGCTTTTGGCTGCCGAGAAGTTCCTTTAGTGAGTGGTTGTGTTAAAACAGTAAGTATAGGGCTATAAATTACTTGACAAATTCCATCCAACCCAATGAAATTCAAATTGAAAAAGTAACAATTTAAACAGCCTAGGATTTTTGCAGTTTTATTAATTTCAAATCTCTTGAATGCTTATTATGAAATGAGAAAGCTTTCATTATTGCCCCACACACTTATCAGGGAAATGAAACCTTTCCTTTTGCTTGAAGTGTTTTGACAGAATTTCTGAAAACCAGAAAGGAGGGCCTCTGGGGGAAAGTGAGCACACCAGGCAATGAGATTCTGGTGCTCCTCCTCTGAGAGGGGCTATTTTCAGGCAGCACTTACTGCGCCCGGGAGAAATCAGACAAAACCAGCTTGCCATAAAAAGCATGAGCCCTTCAGACTACTTTCCTACACAGGCCCATATTTTAATGAATTATTGTAGTTTTTAGAAAAAATGATAGCAGTCTTTAAAGATATCTTAGACAAATCAAAGAATCCTATATAATAAAAGCCTTATATGCAAATCGACCTAATGGAGAAACTACCAGTGCAACCATGGGTCACTATCATGCACACTGACCACCAGGGGCAGATGCTCAATGCAGGAGCTGCCCCCAGTCTGCAGGCCCCAGGCCAGCATAGGGGGCCCTTCTGATTGCCACACTGGTCACCCCACAAATCAGCCCTGATCACTGGCCAGGCCTAGGGACCCTAGTACATAATTTCATGCACCAGGCCTCTAGTACATATTAATAAACCATAAAATAAGTCAAATAATAATAAAACCAAACTACACTCTTCTCTTTTGCATTCTACCTTTATTTTTGTAAATTTGTCTTTATTGTTGTATTACAGATTTCCTGCCTCCCCCCCCCCCCCCATTGATGCCCTCCACCCAGCACCCACCCCTCCTAGGCCTTCATCACCCCATTGTTTGTGTCCATGGGTTATGTATGTATGCATACAAGTCTTTTGATTGACCTCTTTCCCACCAACCCATCCACCCCCACACTCCCTCTGAGGTTCGACAGTCTGCTCCATGCTTCTGTGTCTCTAGATCTATTTTGTTTATCACTTTATTTTTTTTCTTTAAATTCCATATATGAGTGAGATCATGTGATCCAATCTTTCACTGAATGGCTAATTTTGCTGAGCATAATACTCTTCGGATATACTTCTTTTTTACTGCTGCATAGTATTCCATGGTATAAGTGTATCACAGCTTTTTAACACACTCATCTACTTATGTTCTGCCTGTATTTTAAAGGAAGGGTTTTGTGGTAGGGAATCTAACCAAGCCCAGTGGCTTTCAAGCCCTCTGTTATTCTAAACATGCCCTCGAGGCTGAAAGTATCTGTAGTCCATGGGGACCCAAAGCAATCACATCCCTTTCTGAGGCTGGGATATACAGCTTGGCTAATTGGGCTACCACAAGCACACAGTACCAAACCCTTGAACTTCGATGAACCTATAAGTGAACTTTCTAGTCAAACACCCCACATACCAAGTTGACTAATTCTTTACACATAGTGAATATTCATTGGGTGAAGGAATAAATTGTTTTAAAGGTCAAAGGATTGTCCAATTGTCTCCTGGTGATAAACCATATTCCTAAGAATAGTGAACAGAAGGAAGGATAAGATCTGGTGCCAAAAAAGAAGTAGAAAAATTACTTTGAGATAGCTTTCCTCTCTGGTCCACGATAAAATTGTGAAGCGGTTGAAATGCATCTTCCAAGAGCCCCCAAACCTTCCTTTCTGCCCATCTTTTTTATTGTCACCCTTTTGTCCAGTTCTTTCTTTTACCCATGACAAGTGACTACTGAAGCTTACAGTCTTGCCATGACTTCCTCCTCTGTGCAGCCTACACTCATGGCAATCCTGACAGACAAACTTATACAAGGTCTAAATGGCTGATACAGTTGAATCTTATCTCTCATTAGGATTCTTAATTTTTAATAAAAGACACAGAAATGCACCTCCACTTCTTTACTGTCTCAGGATACTTGTACAGACACATGAACCTTCCAGTTCCTCTGAAGTCGCCATGGGCAGCATGACGTGCCCTGGGGTTACTCATACACTGGGCTTTGTCTACACTGAGAGTTATTGCATGGGCTCCAAAATGCTCACTGGTCCCAAATTACAGTCCTTAGCCATAATCTAAAGGAAGAGGACCAGGATACCAGTTTAATTCCAAGATTTGGCTTGGCCAGAAGGAAGTCCTCTTCTACTTATTCTACTAAAAGCAACTAAATCATAGGAATCTATTTTATATCACGAGAGAAAGTTCACATACACAATAGCCAGTCATAACACAGCCAGCTAAGCTAAGGGTAGAGGTTTGAGACACTCTGAATCTCCATGGTATATTATAAAGTAGACTAAAATATCTGTGGCCCAAATGTAGACTAATCAGTACTTGTTTAGTATGACAATAGTTTGAATATTTGCTTATAGCCAATTATGATACACATATCTGGTCTGGGATATATACTTTGTAGTGGCTCCTCTAAATGGATCCGCAAATTAATTTATTTAAATGTGCTTACCATGAGCAGTTTAAGTAAATGACATTTATTTTGGCAGGAGAATAATTTTTAACTTGGCTGCTGCTTCCAGACAGATTATTGTCAGGTTGTGACAGTGAACTAACCTTGGAAGAAGGAGGGATTTACAGGGGATTATTTTGTTTTCAGACCCTTGCATTTCTCCAAAGAGGCCAATAATTTTTTCAATGCTCAGGGACACTGGGTCCCAAAAACATTGCAATGTTTGCATCTTTCTGACCTGCTTTCAATAATAACCCCACATCTAGAGAGCTAAAAATGTTCCTTAAAAATATATATTTTTTTCAGATATACTCTTCAGAGGCTGTTTTGTTGGTAATACAAATAGAGAACATCTTCCAGGAGCAGGGAAATACAGGGTGGGGCACAAGTAGGCTCACAGTTGTGAGTATGCAAAACACAGTTTATTCTAGTATCATTATTTCTTAACCATTGTATTATTTTCCATATAAACACTGTAAAACTACTTTTGCCCCACCCTGGATATTGGGAAGAACTCTGAACAGGGATCTGGGATCAAGTCCCAACTCTAAGAAGATCACTAACTGAGTGTGCACTTGCAAATGCCTTGGCCTAAGTTTCTCATTTGGAAGATGAAGGTATTTCAAGATGATCACTACAGTCCTTTGGCAAAAAGTGCACACATCATGAAAACAGCCTAGGTTTTGCCCAAGGTTGTCCTGGGATCTGCGCAAAGATGACAGATCATATTCAGCATTTAGAGCCAAACTTTCATCTCATGAATATCCCTTATTCCTTATAAAACCATACATTATATAGGGAACACAGATATATATGTAGTGACTAGATAAGCTATTTTCAGACTATTTGCTCACTACTAATTAAGTTATTACTGAGGGACTATTATTCAGCAAGCCCTGTATATGGCATGTTTACAAAGATTATCTCACATAAACATCATGGCAACTTCATGTAGATGACGATCCTCATTTTATGGATCAGGAAACAAGTTCAAAGAGGTTGATCTAATAGCCTTAAGTGGCATCAGTAGGAAGTGGCTGAAATGAGATGGAAACTACGCAGTCTTAGTTCAAAATTACTTTCTTTGAATTCCTTATAAATTACCCTTTATGGTGGCAACCAAGATCTACTGTACAGTCTAAAAGCTCACAGTGCCTCTATCCCATCTGACCCCAATTTTAATGTCTCCACTTTCAAGCATAATTCATGACAACAATGTTACCTGACATTGCAGCTATTAATGGACTAGGAACCCAAAATTATTTTTTATTACTGGCTAGCAGAATGGAAAAGAGGAGGGTTTCTTGGAGAAAGGGACAACTTTCACCTCTACATTTAAACACTGCTTGGAATTTATTAACAAATTACCAGTTTATGATACAAAATTACAAGCCACAAATCAAATTTCTACGAAACACCACCACAGGATACATAAATTCTGTAAAGTAACTATCAACATTCCATTTGGTTCTCTCTTACTGAAAAACAAACAAACAAAAAATATACAAAAAACTCCAATAATTAAGCTTGAAGAAGAGTGGAATAAGTAAGTCTGATTATTTTTAATTAGAAAAAGATGATTCAAGACAACAAGTTCATATCTTGGTTTCTTTTAACATAAAACATTACCTGTACATATACTTTGCAAAACATCTAAACTATAAGCAAAACAGAAATATGTGCCCTAATTAGATGTGAGAGTGAATTCAAGAGGATATAGAAAATGGTTTAAACTTTTTTCTTTTTTTCTTTTTTCTTTTACAAATAAGCATCAGATATGATGGGTGACTTCATTAAAAAGATTCTCACTAGAATGACTTATCATTTAAAATTCAAATAATGTTTTTGTTTTTTTGCTCTCCCTTTGTATTACATAAAGCCATGTGAAAATTCTCTGAAAGATTCAAGGGTGATATTTTGGGCAGCATTTTGAAACATAATGAAGAAGTAAGAAGTCATACCTTGAAATCATATGTGGCATCCGGGTTTTCGTCACAGGCGATAACTTCCGGTGCCATCCAGTAGGGAGTACCGATGAAAGTATTCCTCCTGCCCACTGTTCGATCCAGCTGGGCACTGACTCCAAAGTCCACTATTTAAGAGAAGGCAAAATGAATCAAGTTTACGGTTTTTATAGGATGCTAAACTAAATATGCACTTTTGTTAAGATACACATAACATAAAACTTAACCATTTTAATGTGTTACAATTCTGTGCCAGTAAGTATATTCACATTGTTGTGCAACCATCACTGCCATTCAATTCCAGAACTTTTTCCTCTTCCCCAGCTGAAACTCTGTAGTCATTAAATAATAACTAGCCCCTCTCCCCTCCTCCCAGCCTTTGGAAACCCCATTCTACTTTTCATCTCTATGAATCTGACTACTACAGGTACCTCATCTAAGTGGAATCATATAGTATTTGTCTTTTTGTGACTGGCTTACATTACTTAGTATAACGGTTTTCAAGATTAATCCATGTTGCAGCATGTGTCAAACTGTCCTTCCTTTTTGTTTTCTTTTTTTAGGGGCGGGGGAGGGGGGAGGGAAATGGTAAGGGTAAGGGAAAGGTGTGGGGGTGCTCCCGGGAAATGTCTTTCCTTTTGAAAGCTGAATAATATTGTATTGTATGCAGGTGCCACATTTTGTTTTTCCATTCATCTGTTAATGGCACTTGGGTCGCTTCTTCCTTTTTGCTATTGTGAATGTGTATTTTTAAATTGCATGTATAAATGGATGAAGTGAACCAAGAACAAAATCATGAAGTGTTATATGTGTTTATACCAAGGCTTCCTGGGGATCAAAAATTGCAATAAAAAGCAAACTTGGTTGCCATCATAAAGGGTAATATTTAAGGAATTCAAAGAAAGTGATTATGAACTAAGTTTCTGGAGTCAGACTGTGTAGTTTCCACCCCATTTCAGCCATTTTCTAGTGATCAATCTCTTCCAGTTTGTTTCCTGATCCATAAAATGAGGGTGAGATCTACGTAGAGTTGCTATGATGTTTATCTGAGATAATCTTTGTAAACATGCCATATACAGGCCTTGGGTATTATAGTATCTCAGCAATAACTTAATTAGTGGAGAGCAAATATTCTGAAAATAGCTTATCTAGTCACTACATATGTAACTGCTTTCCCTATGTAATGTATGCTTTGGTTTTACAAGGAATATTCATAAGATGAAAGTTTGGCTCTAAATGCTAAATATGTTATTTATATATTATAACCAAAAAAGGTAAGAACAAATTTTTGGGATATAAACATGGGAGATATTTAAATCTCTGAAAATAACCAATTATACTAATAGTGATTCTTTTCTAGGAGACAAATTTGAGATATCTGTCAATTTATACTTTTACTCATAGACATCAAGCTGACAAATGCATGTGGGGATTCTGTTTGCTTATAGTTTAGATAGCCATATCTGGACAATCTCAGATTTGTTAAGGGAAGGGCTCTAATGGACAGCATCAGAGAAAAGGATTCCCTAACGGACAACTCTGGCAGATGGAAGTGGGATAATTGGTATACATGCCAAGTATATTATTGAGCATCCACTTTGCAGAGGTAATAATGAAATCAATGTAAATTTAACCTAAAACATATGGAATGCAGCAGGAATTCATTATTTTAAACAGGTCTAACTGTGGATATTTTTAATAAAAAAATGGGTCACCATTGTTCTGTTACAGCAATAATGTAAACAAACAGTAAGATATAGAAAAACATTTCAAGGTCACTCACTTCTCATTTAAAGGGTCTTTGCTTTAAAAAAAATCAATTTTTCTATATATTAATTAAACACATGGTACTGTTTAGCACAGACCAAGTCACTCCTCAAAGAACTTTTAGAAAATGTTTTCCTCTCCATTCTTAGCACAATCACTTCCAAATCCACAGAGATAAATTTCTATTCATTACAACAACAACAACAAAAAGCCAGCTGTTGAAATAATCTTATCAATTCCTGCAATTCCTAGGCTCACTGAATTCTGTTCTTACCTAGTTTGACTTCTGCATTTTCAGTCAGCAAGACATTTTGCCCTTTAATATCTCGATGAATCACTTTATGCTGGTGCAGGTGACTCAGCCCCTGGAGTTGAAAAGGATGAATAGGAACATAAGCCAAGATGCAAATAAACTATTTCAGACGTTAATGATCCAAAAAAGTAGTAGACTCACCCAGAAATACTTTCATTATAATACTCATATCTTTCATGTACTCACAGCGCTGTACTTAGCCATAGGCAATGGATCAATATACACTGAACTAGAGAGGTAGCCCTTGCTATGTATGGTGCTGTGCTAAAGGAAATGCTTTCATACCTGTTTTGTCCTTAGGAACCAACTAAGATGATGTGGTCCAGCATACATGAGTTCAGCTAATAATACTGTAAAAAGTGAAGACTGCCTGGCGTTGCTAGTTTGTGATGGGAACACCTATAAAGTCTACATATTATACAAAAAACTAAACTGATTCAACTAAATCCTCCACTTTTGGGGGTCTCATAACAGCCAAGACGTTTCCCATTGGCTTTAGCCAAAGTGGCCCACATTAAAAAGGAAAGCAACAATTTCTGTTTCCTTTGTTGGCATTTATCACTGTCATTTTGAGTGCTTTATGACATGTGTAACTTTGTGTTTATTATATGAAATTGTTATGCAGTGATACCCAAAACCGATCATATTCCAGGTCTCCATGAATTACTCTGATTTTGGCTTCTTTGGGGTATTAGTTCTAAAACCTACAGATGTGCTCTAAGTCACATGTTTTTTCAGGAAAAAAAAAATAACCTAAAAGATTCTAAAACTGGAATCTTGAAGCAAATTTTGTTATGCTAACAATTGATAATTCTAAGTATTGTACACCTAACTATTGCCATTTTAATAGTTATGATTTTTTGTACTTTTATTTTTCTTCTTCTTAACAATATAATCATGTTATGAAAGATGAGGTTGACATGAAAAGAAAAAAATACACTAAATATCTAAATTCCCTTGTTGAAAAAAATTTAGCATGAGAATATAGATGACCAAAAAGGTCCATGTGTATGTTTAGGAATATCAGTAAATATAAACCATGCAACAGGACAGTTGCAGTGCTTTGGGCCTTTAAAAATTACCTTTCGTATCAAGTTAGTTTGGCTCAAGGTAGGCATTAAGTAGATTAAAATGGATGGTTTTAATAGCATAGTAACACCCCATGAATCCTTAAAATTTCATTCCCTGCTTCATCTCCAAAGTGGCTGGAAGCATTTACCAGAGCACACAAGTGAGCCAAAGGTTCATATAATGCAAGGAGGGTCATCTCTGAAACTCATTATAATAAAATATTCCTTCCAATGAGTCACCTTATCTCAAATGCCAGCATCATTTGGAAGAATAATTGCATTGGAAGAAGGAAGAAAACAGTGGTTTTCAAGCATTTTTAAAGTAGGTATTGAGAGATACTCATGGGATAAAATCTCCCTTCTGCTTTCTGATTTTCCCTGAAGATCATAGGACTGAGCCCCTACAGGTTACCAGCAAAGCAAAAAGGTGTATTACGCAGAACCTACTCTGAAAACCAATAGATGCTTGGTACTCACTGGGTGGTCTGGATGACTAAAAACATTCATCGTGCTTTCTCTGAATGAGTAAAATGTTAAGTCAGAAATTCAAATTAAGTTTACATGATGACACATCAATAGTTGGAAATAAATGTCAGAGTTGAAGATTAGCAGCTGTACCTTCTTGTTTCTCCTCAAATTTTGTTTTGCGTTCTGTTTGAGAAATATGTTTGTCTCCTGCTAAGCCATGGTGATATTATCCTATATTTTCTCTTAGGAGCTTTTTTTTTTTTTTTAAATATCATTCACATTTATGTCTATAATCCAGCTTGAATTAATTTTTAAATATGGAATAAGTAGGTGTCCAAGCTTCATGTTCTCACATGGATATTCAATTGAACTTAATGACTGATAAGGGCACCTTTTCCCCAGGCACTGAAGCAGTTCCTTCGTCATAACTCAGGTGAGCTGTGAAGCAGGTCTGTCCCTGGGCTCTCGATTCTGTTTCCTTGGTCATTCATCTATTCTTGTGACAATACTACTCTGTTCTAATAACTTAGCAGCTTTATAAGTCCCAATAACTAGCAGCATACTAGCACATCCTCCAGCTTTGTTCTCCAAAAGACTGCCTTGAGTATTCTTAGCCCTTTGCATTTTCATATAACATTTAAAAAATCAGTTAGTCAATAACCACAGATACACCTAAAATGATTTTGGTAGGGAGTTCAGAGAAGTCATGATCAAATTGGGGAGAAATAACATTTTTAGAATACTGAGCATCCTAATCTTTGAAATAGCATATTCCTCTATTTACTAAGGTCTTTTTAAATTTTTCTCAATAATATTTTGTAGTTTATGATGTAAAAGTTGTTCACATCTTTCTATAAATTTATTTCTAAGTATTTGATTTTTATGCCATCATAAATGTAGTCATTTAAAATATTTTATATTTTCTTTGGCCTAAGGTGGTTTGAATTTAATCAATAAACATTATTTTAATGCCCTTCATCCTTCTTAACTTCCATCTGTCTGTCTGTCTGTCTGTCTATCTATCTATCTATCTATCTATCCATCTGTGCATCCATTCACAACACATAATCTATCTTTCAAAGGTGTATCTTGGACACATTGTAAAAACATTTTTAACTTTTGTTTCCTTAAGTTAAGAAGGCAAAGGTTATAAATAGATAATGATTGCCAAGCAGATCTAGTAAGAACACTCAGTGGACATGTAATAGCCTCCATATTAGTAGCAAAAGATAATTAAACTAATCTGAAGGACCAACTACCTTCTCCTTGAATTGAGCTGGCAAATATGACCATATTGCTCAGACTGCCTGATTGTGGGCAAAACTGGGCAAATAAGCACAGTCTTGTCTAGCTATTTTCATTAATTTAAGTAATTAACACTAAAAGAATTTTATTTAAAAGGGTAAAATCTGGTAAACTATGTTCTATGTATGTACTGAAATGCCTAAGTCACACAATCTTTAAATTAGTTATAAACTTCCACAAATAGAAAACTCCAATGAGTGATTAAAATAACTCTAAAACAATCCATTTCCTAAGTGGGACACCATCTATATGGACTAAAATCAGATTTCCATTTGGAAACACCACTGGAAATGAATTCCTTGTTAAAAGAACTCACCCAATGCTAACTCAAATGAGAGTGCACATTGCCCATTCAGAATGGTACTCACTTCCACTAGAGCAGACCACAAGTAAACAACTACCATTGCTACTATCACTGTTAGAATAAAGCTTTAAAAGTTTCCAATATGCTTATAAATTTCAGTGGAAGGTCAGTACAAAGTTCAACACCTCCCATTGTATCCTGTATTGCTACTTACTCGTAAGATCTCCCTGCAGATGTATGCAATCCACTCCTCCTTCAAGGTGTTACCTTTCGTGTTCTTGATCAGGTCAGTGACAGAGCCAGCTCCACAAAACTCCATCACCAACTGGCAAAGGAAGCACACAGGCCATTATTATAATTACACGTCTCAGCTTCCACTGGGCTGAGTTATGAAAGCATACAATACTCCAGTTGAATGCTTTGGAATGTCTTCCCTGAAAAGAAAACATGATCATAAAACAATATATGAAACATAAACATTCATCTTCATTTATTCCCAAAATGATAGGAAGGAAAGATTGTTTTTAGTTTTATAATCTGAGAATGACAGTTTCAAATTGAGAAAAATCTCCATATTCTATGAATTTTATAAAATGAGGGCAAGTAGGCGGTTCAGATGTTGTTGAGAATATCAGTGCTTATTTAGCAGTTGAATTCATCCTTCCTACACAAATAGGGTCATTCTCCTGTCTAAAAGAGCTATGGTGATCTAGGCAATCCCACCTTAGGACAACATAAATGCATGCTATTTATTTTATTGGCTTATAAATGGCATTGTAAGCTGTCAGAGTGAGGACTATCTGTTTTTAATTAAACTCAGCAGTTGTTCCCAGGAGGCTGGACACATCAAATAAATTCAATAAACAATAAGCTCTAATTTATCACCTTTTAACAAAAAAGCTCCAACGTCCCAATAAATATGAATTCATTACAGCACTCAGCAGCTTTGTAAAATAGGCAGAAAATAAACACCTCTCTTACTTAACAGATAAGGAGAGACTAGAAGAGAAAAAACTATCTGCTTTTGTATCCATTTTCTTGGATTAGAGAAACATATCCATTTCCATACTTTCTCTTTTTCAAAAAGTCTTCAATAAAAAGTCTCCTTACGGGTACTTATACAATTTTGTAATTACATAGTAACAATTCAGAAAAACCACCAATCAATCTTTGACCTGATTCTAGAAACAGAACTGATATGGGGTCATAATAAAATCACATTGATGATTTTAGTTTTGTCTAAATGTACATTCTTAACATCAGCATCATATCACCAGATCCTAAAAGATACCCCACTAGGCTGCAAAATATTAATATTAAAATTATGTTTCCTTTTTTTCTGTATGCCTAGTTGAAACTCACAAAAATTCATGAAACAATGCCTGTTCTAACTTATGACTCCACACAGGGAAGGGATTTCCATGTTCTTCAGAGCTTTTGAAAGGAAATTTGAGAAGTGCTAAGTTAGATCATATTCCAACCCAATAAGAGTTGTAAAGTTTTCATATATGCTAGCCAGGAAGCTATCAAAGGCCAGAAAATCACATTAGAAAGAACTTAGAAGTCAATTTGAAGAAGTTGTTACTGGCCAAACATGCGATAATTTGAGTATCAATAAGAATAACTTCAATATCTTGAAACACATTGAATATACTTAACTAAAGGCATTAACCAAGACACTCCTAAAAAAGAATACAACTGGCACTATTTCAAGAAAATAAAGAAACAACTTCTAATTTTGAGGACTGGTAAATAAAGATGTAAAATTTAAGAATTCTACACTGCCTTTCTAGTACAAGTTTTACCACTGGGTAATCTTTATAATAAAATCTTAATATGCAAATTGACTGGCAAATGACGGGTGGAATGACTGGTTGCTATGGTGCATACTGACCACCAGGGGGCAGACGTCAATGCAGGAGCTATCTCCAGCCTGCAGGCCCCAGGCCAGCCAAGGCGAGAGCCATTGGGGGCCCCCAGTTATACTGCCAGTCTTCCTGTAGATCGGCCCTGATGTCTGGCCAGGCCTAGCAACCCTACCCATGCATGAATTTCATGTACCAGGCCTCTAGTTAAATAATTAAAGAGATAAAGCTTGTCTTCATAAAAATCAGGTATTTCATCTAATAAATGAAGAAAACAAGTAGAACATCACTATTACAAAACTTCTAATAAGCTAATGGACTTAGGAGCTAATCATCAATGGCTGCTAACATAAAAAAATAAGAAATAACCAGCTCTGACTTGCCTTTTGATTAGAATAATATATCACCTAAGAATAGTCTTGTCCAAACCAAAACCAAACCAACCAACAAAACAAACAAATCCCCCCAAACTGAATCTGATGAAGCTTCTAATTCCAACTACCAATTTACAGGAAATTCAGAGGACTGAGAAACATGTTACATACTGGGGACACAATCATCAAAACCTAGAATAGCAAACTCCATAGGGAAAATGACCCATTTATTCAACAAATAAATTGCAAGAAGGGAAAGAAAAGGATGGAGGGGAAATCTATAAATTTAAAAACATTTCAAAAGATACCAATGGGTGCAACTTACTTAGATACTAACTTTTTAAAAGTTATTAAATTTTTTAGACAATCTACAGATTAGATATTAGAAATATGGTTAATAATTTTGTAAGTGTGACAATGGTACTGTGTTTATGTAAAAAAAAAGTTCTTACTTTTAGAGAAACATTCTACAGATAAAATGATACAATATGATGACAGTCTTTTCTATATATGATACTAAGACAATTGGATATACACATGTAAAAGAATAATGTTGAACCCTTAACTCACACAACATAAAAAAATCTCAAAATGGATCAAAGACCTAAATATAAGAGCTAATACTATAAAATTCTTAGAGAGAATATAGGGATAAATCTTCATGACCCTGGATTCGGCAATGGTTTCTTAGTGATGACAACAAAGACACAAACAACAAAACAAAATATAGATAATTTGGATTTCATCAAAATTAAAAACTTAGTGCATCAAATGACACTATCAAAAGAATGAAAAGACAGCCTACAGAATTAAAAAACATTTGCAAATCATATCTAATAAGGTCAAGTATCTAGATCTATAAATAACTTACAACTCAACAAGAAAAAATCACAATTTTATTTTGTTATTATTTTTAAAATATATTTTTATTGATTTCAGTGAAGAAGGAGAGGTAGGAAGAGGGAGAGAGAGATAGGAATATTAATGATGAGACAGAATCATTGATCAGCTGCCTCCTGCATGCCACACCCTGGGGAAAGAGACCACAGGGTGCCCTGGCCGGGAAGCTGTGACCTCTTAGTTCATAGGTTGATGCTCAAACACTGATCCACACTGGCCAGGCAACAATACAATTTTTAAATGGGTAAAAGGCTTGAATAGACATTTCTGCAAAGAAGATATATAAATGACTAACAATTACATGAAAAGGTGTCCAACATTAATAGTTATTAGGAAAATGCAAGTTAGAACTACAATGACATACCACTTCACATTAGAATGGCTATACTTAAAAAAAAAGTAGAATATAACAAGTGATGGCAAGGATCTTGAAAAACTATATATAAGCTTCATAAACTGTTGGAGAAAATTTAAAGTGGTACAGTCACAGCACAGTTTGATGATTCTTCAATAAATTAAGCATAGAATTACTTTATGACCTAGCAATTCCACTTTCAGCTATATACTCAAAATAATTGAAAACAGCTGTTCAAACAAATAATGTTCAAAGCTGCACTATTCACAACAGACCAAAGGTGGAAATACCAAAATGTGCATCATCAGGTGAGTAAACTAAATGTGGTATATTTATACAAGAGAATATTATTCAGCTATGAAAACAAATGAAATTCTAATGCATGACACAACACATCTGAATCTTGAAAACATTATGCTAATTAAATAAAGACAGACCAAAACAGGCTATATATTGCACAAATCAATTTATATGAAAGGTCTAGAATAAACAAATCTATTGAAGCAGAAAGCAGATTACTGGTTGTTGCCAGTCACTAGAGGGAGGGAAGAAAGGGAGTTCCCACTTAATGGGTACAGTTTCCTTGATGATGATAAAAGTTCTGGAACTACGTAAAGGTGATGGTTGCACAACATTGTGTACTTAATGCTACTGAGTTATACATTTTAAGATGGTTAAGGGTGAATTTTATGCTGTGTGTATTTTAACAGAATTTTAAAAAAAGATATTCTGAGAAGATCTGTTTCAAAATAATAGTAGAAAGGAGGAAGATGGGGCAAGATTGGCCTTGATGAATGGTTATTGGGGCTACTTTTGGGCACATGGGTGTACATTATACTGTTCTGAATAGTTTTGTGTATTTTAAGGGTCCTTCACAAAGTTTTTAGAAATCCCATTATGCAGCATACCATGGTTGAATGGCAGCAAGACGGACCCAAGCGAAGTCCTTGGGTAGAAAGAAAAGAATATATTTTCTCAAGTGAGCAAAACATATGTTTGTGCCTCTTTTCCAAATCTCATTTTGAAAAACACAGTGACCAGACCTCCTGTGATGCATCCATTGCTCCTGTATCAGCTGGAGAGAATGTCCTACCACTGAGCTCTTTAGACCATGTAATTACAGTTCCCAAGGAAAGCAGGGGAACGCCAGTGACTCCAGTCCCTTAAAATTAGATTGGACCAAATACTTTCAAATATTCTGTAGGAAACAATCCTGCTGTAGCCAGGCACTAATGTCAGCGATTTCTATAATTTGCTTTCCATTCAGCTCCAGCTGAAGGCTGCTAAATTCTTTTCATCTCACCATGGGACAACATGATTGTTAAATTATGTAATGGGATTTTTTTTTTTTAAAGAAAGAAACCAGCATTAGCTAGCAATCGGTTCCTATAGCCACACAGCAACGCTGATAATTATTGCCACCACACAGCAGGGACTCTCCCTCACCACAAATAACCTCCACACATTAATAAAGAGACACAGGACTCAACATGCCGAGCCTAGCAGCAGTAAGTCAATAAATTCATATGTCACAAGCAAGAAATAATGGATCATTAATATTCTTCCTAAAAGAAAGTTCTCAAACAGTTGACACCAGAGTAACAATACTAGCTTACATTTGCTGAGAATCTACCGTATGCTAGGTACTGGGCTAAGCGATGGTCACCTGTTATTTCAGTAATTCTCCTTCTCCTCAGTTTCCTTTTCACAATTTACTTGGAAATAAAGCTTAGGTATGGTCTGCAGCCTTATCTGTATGCTCATTAAATAATCAGAGCAGGGTTGAAAGTATGGTGCTCTCTCAAGTACAGCTACTAACCTTAGGCATGTT